GTGTTGTGGATGTGAATGCAATCACTATTTGTCCATCAGAAGCATAGAATTTTATCGGCAGCGAATGAATGGCACTGCCATATGATGTTATTTTGCGCCCAACGCAGCGGATTGCATCGCAGCCTTTCAACCAGACGTTGCCCCACAGGTTCCGACAGCGCACTTTGTTTTTTACCGCATCGAATCCGTTTCACGACCCCATCGCATTTTCACCCCTCGAGTTCACCTGCGCTGCACAGATAGCGGAATTAATAAATATTTAAGCATTTAAATATTTAAATGCCAGGTGTAACATGGCACCAGGCGCTCACTGCTTTGAGGCTGAAACCCAGTAAAAGGAAGCAGTTTTGGGGGCACCAACAGTTTAAAATTTAAGCAAAGATCAGCTTAGAAACGCCAATAATTCGCTCATAATTCCAGCAAAAAAAAAATGGAAACGTAAAAGGCAGCATTGGCTTTGCGAACGACTGAGGTGTTTTACGCCCAAATATAATCATATTTTTCACCCCTAATGCAGCACAGCGTAGTATAAAACGCACATCATTTACCTTTGCAAACTCAGCGACTCGGTGACTTGCGTTTAAAGCGCTCCTTCACCTCCATCCACAGGTTACAGACTGAGTCCAGTGGAGACATCGCGCGTAATTGTGCCCCAATTCTCTCTCTCTCTCTCTCTCTCTCTCTGGGCAATAGACCTCAGTGAGGTGCCAGTGGGTGAGATGGGGGGGTGGGGGTGGGATGCGGGGGTGGGGGGGGGGGGGGGGATGGGGGGTGGGGGGGGGGGGGGTTGTTTGAAACACAACAAAATGCCAAACCGAACAAAGAAATGCACTATTGCAGAAAAGAGGGGAGGAATAGGAATGAAGTGACTTTGCAGATGCACCAAGCTGTGTCTGCTCTCAGTCTCGCCTCCTCTCACAGCCAGACGTTGGCTCGTGCCCGACGCGTGGAGTCTCCTTATCCCAATTAATCCCTGACACAGGAGCAGAGCCCCAATAACCGCCCCCCCCCCCCCCACCCACACACACCCACACACTCCCCCCCACTCCCCCCCAATTCCCAATCCAAATCCACACACCAACTTACTCGCTAGAAATATACGACTGCAGATGGAAAATGCTTAAATATTTATTAATTCCGCTATCTGTGCAGCCAAACCCATAGATATTCAAGCACTGTATATATAGATAGATAAATTAGTGAATGAAATTAATAGCATTTTATTGTTTAAGTAAAAAAGATATCATTTTATAGCCTTTTATATAATTGTAAGCATTATATATATACACACACACACACATATATACACATACACATATAATGCATCATTAACCTGGTTTGGTTGGTATGTGTTTAGGCGCCTGAGTTAATATTTAATTCGAAAATGTTTACCTTTCTGAAATTATTATTTGAATAAAAATTGTCTAATGGGTTTGGCTCCAATTTTTTTTTGAACCTTCAATAATAATTACAGATTCGTAAACCTGAACTGGTCAGATTGGAGTGGTAAAGCCACCGTTAGCCACAGTTTTAATCAGTTTTAAACACTGTGTAACAAAGAACAAACTACTGAAAGGGGGGGGAGTGAGGTGGGGGGGTTTGGGGAGGTGAGGGGAGGGGGAGATTTCTCTGGACAGATGTTGCTAAGACGCTGGGTGTTGGCTTGGGACGCTACTTTTTGTGTGTCATTTTGGGAACAGATTTGAATTCAGGTTGGAATGAAATTGCTTTCATCCCAATTTTTTTTTGTTGTTTTTTTTGGGGGGGGGGGGGGGGGGTCGCGAAATTGTGAAATGCAGGTCAGGGCAAAAAGTCTACCAAAAAGTCACACACTGATCGACGAACACGAGATGTTTCTGACTCGAGCCTCAAACAAATGCTCTCTGATGTCTTAAAGGCTAATTGGCCAAAGCTCTCTATAAGAGTCTACTTCAGAAAACTCCCTTTAGGATTACAATGCAAACACGGGTACAAGTGTGTGGACTGTGGAGTTATTTACCGAGAGATGTTGGGTTTGTTGATTGTTATGTGCAGTTCCTACTGTTTGAGGGCAACGTATTAGAATAAGACATAAAATACTATTCGATGATAATATTAAAATACTAGAATTTAAATAGACTGAATACTATCCGATGATACTTTGGGATGAATACAACACTAAATTCTCCTCTCCCCACCAACACCCCCTCTCTCTCTATATATATATACTCTGTGTATACACATTTAATTTAAATGCCACTTTAGCACTGGGTCAGGCTGATCGCTGCTGCCTGATGGCCCGGGTTGTCCCCCCCTCTGCTCCCTCTGCCTTTGACGCGTGCCAAAACGCGACGCGTGGCTTCAATTGAATTCGATTAATCCCACAGTGACCCGAGCCTGAGCCAGACACAGAGAGGAGAGAGAGAGAGAGAGAGAGAGAGAAGGCAGTGCAGAAGAATGCGCCTGGCACACACCAGCCCAGCCTTTCTTAACCCAAATCTACAGCAGCATATATACACACACATATATATATATATTTTGCAATCAAACCAAATGTGTTGCGTCGCCATCATATCTACCGTAGACGAAAGAGATGGGACTCCCTCCCACTGCCCCCCTCCCCCTCCCCCAGCACTTGCAAACCAGAGAGATGAATCTACAGGGGAGGGAAAAAGAAAGAGAAAAGAGAGATCAAACGATGCACCAAACATTGAGTCTCGTCCAGCACTGGACCTCCAACACATGTGGCTCTGCCTTAGCGCAGCACTGACAGCAGAATTGGGTCCTGGTTTGAGATTCGTTATATAATATTATATGGAATCACGTGACCCCCCCCCCCCACCCCCCCCCCATCAACTCTCCCAATAAATTAAATTAAAAATCTCATTGTTTGGGGGGTTTGTGAGGACAGATGTTACATTTAAGACAGCTTCCCAAGCCGAAATAAACGCGATAGTTTTTTTTTCCTTGGAGCAGATTGGATGCTTGTCTTCAAAACCCCAATAATCCAAGCAACGCGTCTTATTAACAGGGGGGGGGGGTAGGGGAGTGAGGAGGGGGGGTAGGGGAGTGGGGGGGAACCCACATTAACGACATACCCCTATTGTTAATACGATGGGTTTAAATTATAATTTTATAAATGAATGCGTTTAGGGGCAGAAAAGAGTTAGGGGTAGAAATAACACATGTGTCCGGATTTACTGTGTGCGAACCCAACGTCTCCAGTTATTTAGCAAATCTTCACATTTCAAGCCAGTTTTTTTTTTTTTCTGGAGGAGTTCTGCGTTTCAGAAACTACAGAAAAAACGCGCTTCCGATTTGTTTTTAACAACAACTAAATTCAACACTCTGTCGAAGCCCTGAAACAGGTCGGTAAAGTCAACAGAGAGAGAGAGGGGGGAGAGGGGGGAGAGGGGGGGGGGGAGAGGCAGGTGAACCTTTTTTAAAGAGTGTCTGATTTGATAAGGATTGTTTAAAACATGTGCGAACTTCCAGAAAAGGCAGTTCCCTTATAGTTGTTTTATTTGGAGGAGAATTCATCGCCAGAAGTTCTTGACTTTAGTCACAGTTGAGGGCTTGGAGGACGGGAGACCCTTTTGGTTGAGGTGTGTGTGGTTGGCGTGTGCCAGACGCGTGGCTTCTGTTCGGCTCTCAATGAATGGCACAGACGCAGAGACGTATTGTGTATTGTGTCTGTGTGTAAGAATGTGCAGAACTCCCGACGCAGTGTTAGTGTACAATATTATCATTATTCACTCTATATTCAATCCCTCAGTCGAGCTTTTGAGATTTCTCTTTGCGAAGTGAGACTCAGGACATCATTTCACCAACATATTTGTGTCACCAGCCCTTTCCAACTCAAATCGACCCCATTTAATTTCTTTTAAAAGGAAGTCTGTTTGGCTGCAAGTTTATAATATCCAAAGCCAGCTATTAAGCAATTTATTTAAGTCAGTTGTTTGCTTAAATACTTAGCGAATGTTTTCAGGTTTATTTTGCGCTCTGCAGGAATTGGGGGCAACTTTGTTTTTTCTTGTCTGGGGAGGGGGGGGGGGGTGGGGGTTGGTTTTGTGAAGACAGATAAGACAGGTGTTTCTGTGGAAGCGGTTTGGCTTGGGAAGCTGTTTATCCATTTGGGAACAAACAGGCTTTGCTTTGCCAACCTGGGAGAATAAGCACTGTACAAAGAAAAAAGGCGTCAAAACAACTTTTTACACGTGGGTGGGGAGTTCAAATAAATTGCACATTGCAATTTTTGCAACACAAAAGCACTACAGATTCATACAATGATAGTTTATTGTAGGGTTTCTTTTTTTTTTGGTGGAGGGGGGGGGTATAAGCATTCGACGCCCAACAATATTTATTTAAGGCTGTCATACTTAATCCAGTCAACCTCTGTTCAAACATGTTTGCAATCTAGATCGCTGGGATTGCTGAACTAACAATATAATATATTATACACATATACATATATATATATATACAAATAGTTCAGAAAACGATAGCTTGAACTCTCTCCAGACTTAATTTGAAACTCTTAAATCCAACTTGTTTCTCAACCGGTAGTTAAAGAGCACTGAAGCCAATAAAAGGCATCTGACCAGGTTGTTTTCGAGCAGGGATTTTATTTTATTTTATTGTATTTTATTTTATTTTATTTACCCAGGTTTCATTCAAACGTAGAGGTTCTGTTAATTCGTCCGAACCCATCGGATCGGGAGTCCCCAAGACAGATGGCAAATTATTTTTTTTTAAAAAAAATAGAGGAGTTTTCAGTGAGTCTTTGAGGAGTCCCTGAAGCGTCTCTGTCTTACAGCACAAAAGGTTGTGGGCAGGGCTTTGATCCTCCCAGTTTGCATATAAACCCACAGCAGACACCAGTGACATCCATTCCCACTCTCTCTCTCTCTCTGCAAGGTCTCACCCTACAGCTTCTCACGGGGCAATTGCACCCCCTGACCACCACCTTAATTAAACCCCCCCCCCTACCCCTACCCCACCCCCCCCAAAAAAAAGGAGAGGGAAAGAGAGAGGCAAAGGAAAAGAGAACATGTCTCCACATCTCTGTGAGTCCACCACCCCAGAACACGGGGGATTCCACGCCCAAACCAACAGGACCAAGAAGAGAGAGTCAAGCGAATTGAGAAAGGTAAGAGCAATATCTGACCCTTCGCAGTTTGCACAGCGCCCGCCTTTCAGGACGTCTCAGAGCGCTTCACATGGGGGTGGGGTGGGGTGGGGGGGAAGGGGCACTATGTCAGGGCTACAGCCACTGACTTTCAACCTGACAAATAGCAAACAGTAATATCTTCTTTCAACATTCTCTCTTCCTCGTCAGGCATAATAATAATAATAATAATAATAATAACCCTAATTATAATAATAATAATCTTGCACTTTGACACAGCGCCTTATCACATCGTCGCGACGTCTCAAAGCGCTTATAATCCTTGCATTTGATACAGCGCTTTTCACATCTTCTCGACGTCTCAAAGCGCTTCACGGGATATACGGTCAAGTGAATTGACTGTATATTTTGGTGGGCGAAACGGTGGGGGTTATTTTGTGGGGATGTCTTGTGGTGCCTTTTTTTTAAAAAAAAACCGCTACCATTCTAACCTGGTTCTGGTGTAATCCCTACAGGCGCTTAAACCCTTAATGGAGAAGAGGAGAAGGGCTCGTATCAATGAAAGTCTGAATCAGTTGAAAACCTTGATCCTTCCCCTAATCGGTAAAGATGTGAGTATCCGACACGTGTTCTCACACCTTTGGATCGCCGAAGCATCCCAAACTGCATCTTGCCAACTCGCAACTTGGAGAACAATTGTAATTAATGTGATTTTTTTCCCCTCTCCTCCTTCCAGAGCCCGAGATATTCCAAACTAGAAAAAGCGGATATCCTCGAGATGACTGTTCGCTTTCTGAAAGATTTGCCCAAGTCCCCAGTTTACGGTAAGCACTGTTCAATACATTCAGTCCAGCCTTTCTAAACGAAAACAAAATTAACGGTGTGTCCTTTCGTGGGAAAGAAATTATTGCAATCACATTAAATTAAACCACTCTTAAACAAGCTACTTGCAAATGAATGACATTAGCTCTCAGCACAAAAAAAGTAGTTTCAAAGCAAAAGCAAATACTCAACCATAATGCATAATATAATTATATGCCGAATATGCAAAATAACAAAAAATGCACTAAAGCAAATTACAGTACAGAAAGAAAAATCAGTTCAACAATCGCTAAATTAATTCCATTCATGTAACCTTTGCTTTTTAACTACTGGGAAGAAGGGAGTTTCTGCAGGTGTCCCGGTCAACAATCCTCCAGATAAAATGATCACTCCATGTCTATTATGGGGCACATTTTATTGTGTGCAAATTGGCTGCTGCGTTGGTCTACAAAACACCTAGTCACTACACTATACAGTACATCTTGTGGAGCCCTTTGAGAGGGCTTGATAAGGTGCCAAATGAATTGCAATCTTCATAACCATAATTATCATTAAAGATTGATGCATAATGGAAATACCTACTTTCACTCCCTTTTCTTTTCGCGTTTGCTTTCCCTGAAGCACTCGAATCGCTCCCGCAATGTCAGCTCGTGTTTATTCATTAAGAAGTGGAGAGACATCGGAAATGACCATGTGTGTGTGTGTTTTTCCGCTTGTTGCAGATCGCCTGGATAGCTATCGCGAAGGATACCGTGCCAGCATGCAGCACCTTTCCAACCTGCTCCCATCGTCGAAGCTCATGGACACTGAAACCTGCGATCGCCTCAAAGACTACCTGGAACGGTTCACGAGTTTGCCATTGGTCTCCCATCACCCACACTCCCAACCCGGGTCGCCCAGCGAGAGGAGGCAGGTTTCCATTTGCTGTCCCCGGGGCAAAGAAGTTGTCCATCGACCGGCCTTGTCCAACCCCGGCCACCTCCAGCCACCCAATCCAGCCACGCAGGACGGTTATATCTGGAGGCCCTGGTAGTTCGGGTTGATAAAGCAGTTAATAAAAAGAAAGACTGCTAACGTGTAAAAATATATGTATAGTTAAACTGTAAAAAAAAATGTATATACCATATTGTTTCGCAATTTTTTTTCGTGAATTACGCAGCGTGGATCTGAAAGCAGAGTTAGTTCTGTTCATGCTCATTAGCCTGATTTTTTTTAAAAATTGTACTCAGGGTGAAAACGCTGTGGGGCACTTTTTTTTTTGCTGTTGTTGTCTCGTGTAACGACCCACGAGTGCTATTTTATATTTTTGTACAAAGAAAAAAAGGGGTATATTCTAAACCAAAAAAGAGTCCAAAAGATAATATAAAGGTGTTTGTTTTATTTTTTTTATTGTTGTCTTTAATTATTATTCCTAATAAAAAAAAAAAAAATCGTTTTGCTAAAAAATGGTTTCTGAAAAAAAAATCGATGGAAAAAAATAAAACATCTTCTGATTAAGGCTGAGAGGAATCGCAACAGGTGTGTGCTGTTGGGATATTAACACACCCACATTTACACAGACGTTAGGAATACAGCTCAGCCTTACAGCTCGACTGAAGAAAGATATAGGGTGGGATTGTGAGTTGGATGCTTTGAAATTAATATTCTTTAGCCTGAGAGTCATTGAGATAAACTGAGGATTACTATTTCTGTGCCATTTCCAAATTCTGAATTGCTGTCGGGATATTAACGTGTCCCTTTGATCGGTCTGATCTTCCCAACAAAACAGAGCGAAGTCAAGCAAACTCGTCTTTTTGGGGGAATTGGACCCATGATTCACAGAAAGGCTGATGTGGGAATATGATAATGGTCCTGGGATTTGATGTAGTACTTGACTCGCCGTGGAAACGTCTCAAAGCGCTTCGTAGGATACACTGTAAAGTGGAGTGACTGTGTGTTTTGTGAGCGAAACGTGGCAGCCATTTCTGCACAAACAGCCATGGAGTGAGTAACTCTTCCCAGCACTGCATTGGAGTGCTATCTTTGACAATGTGGGGCTTGGACCCACAAACTTCTGATTTAAAGGTTACACATATTGACAATGTGGGGCTTGGACCCACAAACTTCTGACTTAAAGGTTACACATATTGACAATGTGGGGCTTGGACCCACAAACTTCTGACTTAAAGGTTACACATATTGACAATGTGGGGCTTGGACCCACAAACTTCTGACTTAAAGGTTACACATATTGACAATGTGGGGCTTGGACCCACAAACTTCTGACTTAAAGGTTACACATATTGACAATGTGGGGCTTGGACCCACAAACTTCTGACTTAAAGGTTACACATATTGACAATGTGGGGCTTGGACCCACAAACTTCTGACTTAAAGGTTAAAGGAGAGCGGTGGGGGAGGTATAACGGGGTGGGGGGAAAGAAAGGAGTGCAAAGCAGACAGTATTGTCTCGCCGTTTATGAATGATCAAGCAACTTTTGCTTTATATATGCTGCACCTACAATACAGATCTGCATAATAAGATATATCTTCTCTATGTATTGTATTAAAATAGACGCAGGTGGGTTTTCCTTTTTTATTTCAAAAACAAGAACAAAATTATATTGTCTGCTTAAAGATGGAACCAAAGTGCACCCCCGACCCGATCCTGTATGAAAAGTAAAATTCAATCTGCATTAAAGCAATTGGTATACAGTACTCGCCTTCGACAATTACTTTGAATAAATATATACAGCGGTATGAAAGTTTTCAATTTGATTTCAGCTCGTGGCTTCTGACGCTGTGTGCTTTGTGCTCCTTTAATGTAAGAGGGAGCACCCGTTTAGAGCTCTACGTGTGCCGCGATTGTAAGCCAAGGAGTTTAAGGAGAAAGGCGAAGGAAGTCTTGCAAGTGTGGGAGGCAAACAATGAACAATTGTTTGATTGGAAAAAAAATCGAGAGGGAGTGAGGGAGATTCTCCGTGCAAGTTGTATCAACTAGCCTGGACCTGCAGCCCTCTGCTGTTCACCACCCATGTTAATTTGCATTGAGCAAGCAGTTTCGGTGCCGTTTTCCCACGCGCCTGGGTGTGCTGATCACCCGAGATGTCACAGCACCTGCCTTGCAAACACACGCCACTCCACTGGATCCCTGGCCCCACACGTTTGAGAACCAAACCTCACAGGAAAAAAAAAGACCAGAGGGCACAAATCTCCTCCACCCACATATTAACTATATGCCTCCTGCTGTTGTTAGCTCCCAGCAATATTTAATTGGTGTAATATCTTCCCTTCCCTCCCCTCACCTCCACCTCAATAAATAACCTTGAAGACACCTGATGGCAATCTGTGAGAAAAAATGTATCTGTGGGTTACAGCTCTGAGGAGTCGGGACCTTTGCAAGATCAACTTGTTCCCATGCAATGCTATTTTATTCAACGCCTTTTTCCATTGCACGTGACAATTGGCATCAGAATTGCGCTAAGAACTGTGACATGGAGTAATTTCCGATAATCGCCTGATCTAAACTATAATAATAATAATCCTTGCCTTTGATATAGCGCTTTTTTACGTCTTCTCAACGTCTCAAAGCGCTTCTCAGAATAGACTGTAAAGTGAATTGACCGTATATTTGTGGGCGAAACGCGGCAGCCAATTGCGCACAGCAGCGTCCCCTCAAACAGCTGTGGATTGAAAGTGACCAATTTATTACTGTTTTTGTTTCTGGAGGGATTATTATTAATAGGCGTGTGGAGTAAGGAAACTTGCCCAAGGTTTCGCCCCTTGCCGGGAATTGAACCCAGGGTCTCGCTTGCAAGGCAAGTGCTCTAACCACTGAGATACAGGACTCCACGACAGAGAGAAACTCCCTAATCTTTTCAAATAGTGCCAGGGTATCTTTAACATCCACCTGACCAGGCTGATGAGACCTCAGTTTAGCATCTTATCCAAAGAACAACACCTCGGCTCTGACAATGCCACATAATCCAGGACACCCATCGCAGTGTCAGTTTGCCTCAGCCTATGTGATTCCAAGTCCTGATGCGGGGCTTGAACCCACAACCTCAGGGGCGAGAGTTGCAACCACTGAGCCAGGCTGGCACACAAAAATAATGGACAGTATCGGAGACCTTAAGAAACCTGTGAGTTTAGAATGTGGTTGCAGCTAATAAGGCGTGTACCGAAACCAAACTTCCAGGTTTCATACATAATGCTCTTTTTTTTACACACACACACACATGAGCTGTATGATGTGTAAAGCTCTTGAATAATCCACCCGTGCCATTTAAGGAGTTCCAGACCTCACAGGCGAGCCTCTCTATATTAGTAATTTCTCAACAGCTTGTCGATTTTACTCCCCCACCCCCTCGACTACACACTCAGACCTGTGGCTTGAGATTGAGATCTGTGACATGTTGTAACCTATTCCTCCCTTCTCCCTTTCCCTTCTCCTCCCAGCACCCTGGCTCTCTATCCCACGCCCCAGTTCCATTCGGCTACAGGGCACAAGGCTTTTGACCTGCTCACAGGTTCGGGGTTGCAAGCAAATAAATAATAATGATAACAATTATCTTTAAACGGTATTAGTAATGTAATAGCACCGATTAGCCATTTCTGCACTGATTATTTGCCGGGTTAGTCTAACAAGTTAGTTATTTAACGCAATCCCTCAAGGGTACCTTACAGTTTAAAATGAACATCAAACCTGCACAGGTCCTATCTATTGCCCCTCACCACTGTTCAAATGCACTTAAAATTGTTTATAACCAGACACTGATCCCAATTGATGATATTAATGGTGTCTATTTAGTGGGTTTTCTTAACCACATTTTTTGAGGTGTCATCTTGGGTCAGTCAGTCGGTGGCACTCCAACCTGTGGCACTGTTACATGTGGGTATAAGCCCCACATGGTGAGTTGAGGCTAAACACTTCAGTGAAGTAGTGAGCCCTACATTACTGTCCTTTAGATACGTTGTTAAAGCAAGTTCCTGTCTACCCATCCTTTGAATAGGCATTAAAGATCCCTTAACACTGTTTGAAAAGAGAAGAGTATTTCTTATGGAAATGCTTTCAGCGGGTAAGTATTGTTTTGACCAGGTAAGACGTCATAAAATGATACAGCACAGAAACAAGCCATCCAGTCTAAACAGTGGGAGTTGATCGGGTGGGAGTGGAGTTCACACGGGCCAGTTTCATAAACAACTGGTCACCTGAAAAAAAACCTGGTTGAGAACTGTTTCTGTTTGGACACCTTGGTTTCTGGTTACTTACATTGCATGAAAGAGAATAGAAGAGACGGGGAGGGAGACTAGAAAGTGGGATTAGGATGGTGAGTATAAACATGGACCCAGATCAGTTGGGGGCAAATTGTCCATTTTGATGCTTTATGTTCTATGTATGTAATTCTGCGTATGGAAGAAAGTCCCCATTTAAATGACCTGAGGTTTCACTCAAGCATGTTGTTAAGAATTATCACAAACGAGTCCCCAATATTATATTATATGAGGTTCCTGCAAATAATATTACGATATCTTTGTTTGCTAACAGGGCAGTCAGCGATAGATAGGTTTAATTGTCTGTATTTTGTAGGAAACCGTTTTTTCATGTGGTTACAAAACACTCAACCAGCAAGCAGTGCCCATCAAAGCGAATGTTATGGGGGAGAAACACGGTGCAACTTTTCTTTAAACCTCTTTTTAAATAAAATAATGACATGTAATCATCTGTAATTATTTTTAACCACGGTGAAAGCTAGTCTGGGCAGTCAGCATTCAGTTTTCAAGAGTGATTTTGTATTTAGGAAATAAGAGAAGCTATATTTCCGAAATCTGATTAGGTGTAAGGGTTAGTGACAACGCCCTCTCTAATGATTTTATGGCGCCACCTTCTGATCAATATAGTTTGCACAGCCAGGATACAAGAATCTGAAGATTAAATTTACAATGAAAAATATTTTGTAACAAGTATAGATGCTATACGTTTCTAGAACGCATACTGTAATGTCAAAATAAGTGTAATACAGTCATCGCTGTCAAGTGCAATGGGACCAATACTTTTCCACGCTGCCAGGCTCCGTTGGCAAAATAGATATTAACAATAATAATCCTTTAATTTGATCAGGCACCTTATCACGTCGTCGAGACGTCTCAAAGCGCTTCACAAGCTATACTGTAAAGTGAATTGACTGTGTATTTTGTGGGTCAAACGCAGCAGCCAAATGCGCACGGATTCACTTGAGGCAAATAGGGCCTCAATTAACATCAAAGGCAAAGGATGTCACCACAGTAAAGCAGCCATTCAAGTACGAAAGGGGAGAATGAGCAAGATTAAAAGCTCGAATCCAGACAAGGGGCTCGAATACACAACCTTCTGACCCATGGACAAGTGCGCTGTCAACTGAGCCGCACTGACACCTGAGTTCTAACCTGCTTGATTTGCATTTGAAGTGCAGAGTGCTGTCCGTACACGTTTCAGCAAAGCACATCAAGGCACGCAGAGGGCCCATTATTTTTTTAACAATAGATGTGATGGGTGCCTGTTTCGTCCTGCAAATCTAGGCACGAACATGCACATGCACTTGACAAAAACCCTTAAGGTGCACTCAAGCACAAAAGGTATGCTCTGGTTATCAAAATACAAAAAAAAAGTAATGTGTTTTCCTGATAATATCTAGTCAAGGTGTTACTTGCTCACTTGAAGCTGTAATCAATTTGGAAATAAACTGTGTATTGCATTTTCTTCCAAGTTTCCGTCACTGATCACAAGAAGGCCCTTTGATCCATTTGATCCCTTCCTTAATAATGATTTCATAGAGTGCCTTATTACGTAAATGAAACATCTCAAAGCACTGCACATGAATTTACTGCAAAGTGTAGTGACTGTGTAGTTATAGGCAAATGTGGAAGCTAATTTGCACACAATAGTGTGCCACAAACAGCCATGAAGTAAAAAGATGAGTTTTATCTAGAAGATTGTTGGCCAGGACAATGAAAGAAACTTCCTTTTTCCAAATCGGTATCATTAAAATGCAAATATTACGCAATTAGAATTAATTTATGAACTATTTAATGTATTTTTCCTTACAGTACAATGGTTTGCAGTCTGTATTGGCCAAAGTACATAGAAATTCAGCGTAGAATGTATTATGAGTCACTGAGTTTTTTTTAAACTACAGTTTGTGGATAAGTGATGTGATTGCTACATCAGAAGTGAAAAACCAAACAAGGACTCAACTGATGATCTTTCCATGATTCTTAAATTGATAATTTTTTTCAAATGGTGATAGAGAATGACTGGAGAGATCTGGTCGCAGGCAGCTCTACACAATCAGTTCAGAACATTTTATATTACCGTCCTGTAGAGTGTTGGTTAGAGCATTTGTCTCTTAAGCGAGAGTATCCAGGTTCAATTCCTGGGTGGGATGAAAGCAAGTTTCCTTACTCCACACGCCTTTGTTTACTTAGCAGTAAGTAGGAACCTGGTTGCTAGTCAATTGGCGGATCGCTTTCCAGGGTTATAAACCTTTTTTTAAAAAAAGTAATAACTTGGTCACTCAATCCACAACTGTTTGTGGGACATTTTGTGCGCAATTGGCTGCCGTGTTTCGCCCACAAAATATACAGTCGCTTTACAGTGTATTTTGTGAAGCGCTTTGAGACGTCCCAACAAAATGATGAGGCACTATATCAAAAGCGAGTATTATTATTATCCTTGCAGTAGGTTGTCTGATTTCTCAGTGCAGGATATCTGCGAGTAGGGAATGTACAAAGCTATAGGAAAGGTAAATTACGGTAGAGAACACCGACTGCCTGCTGTACTCCAGCCATGACCAGGATGGTTAATGTGGATGTGTTGAAGCATGTTGTGGCCTGAATGGAAAGGATTACAATATTTCTGGGTGACATCACATTAGGCCTCAGGTGCATGGTGATAGTGCTATCCGGTTGTTCAATCAGCGTCTTGCACTGCCTGGGGTGAGGAGATGGAAATGATTGAGGTGGGGGTGGGGGTGGATGTATGGATAACAGACTGGTGGGGACAATGGTCTCAACCGAATGTGACCGTCTGGGTTTATTTTGGAATAGACTCATTGCAAACCATCAGGACCCTTCGAGATCCATACCCTCGTTGAGAATTCAGGAAAGTTCCTCAGGTTGGAGATTAAAACTGAGGGTGAGGAATGAGCGATGGTGCGTTATTATTAGCAGTCATCGACGTTCTAAACTCCACTCATTAATAAAAAACACAGTGGCCCTTTTCTTGCTTGACATCAGCTTGGCTCAGATGGGTCAGGTGGTGGACACAAGCCCTAGAGTTGAGTTCTTGACCTCACAGTCCAGGCTGGCATTTCACCGGCGTAGAATGGGGTGAGGGTTGCTGCTCCTTGCTGCTGCCAAGTTCAAACCACCATGTTTTAACGGAGTCTGACTGAAATTGGGCAACCATTCACCGTGGTTGGTTGTGGGACTTTACCTGCGCGTGCGAGTAATTTCCGAGCTGTTTATTGAGGGTCCCACGCTTTGGATGAGACGTTAAATCGTGATTCTGTCAGCTTGTTCAGGTGATCTTTGAAGATCCCCTGACACCGCTATCGGGGGGGGGGGGAAAAAAATGAGCTTCTTTCTCCTGGTGTCCTGGCTAATGATTCCACACCCTCTATAATTAATATTATTATTTCATTACAAATAATCACATCCGACTCATGGCTGCTTGTGGTGCTTTGGCTGTGCTCCAAATGCGACATTTGCCTACAACTCACTCACTTGTCAGCGATGGCCTACGTCGTGCTTTGAAGTTACAATGACAATAAAAATAATAATAAGCCTCGCACTTGATATAGCGTCCTATCACCTCTTCGAGACGTCTCAAAGCCCCTCGCGGAACACACCGTAAAGTGAGTTGACTGTTTATCATCAGCGGCTGCGTGGAACGCAAAGCATGATGATTATTAATAAATTAATTAATTCATTAATGAACTCATTATTAATCACTTGCAAAGTGGACGAGGCTCTAAAACTGGCCCAGTAACCTCCTTTCCCTCTGAAAGGGTGGAAGTTAACAGCAAAAGCGTGTGTGCTCTCTGCCTCTCCCTGAGCTCGTCTGGAAAAGCTGTGCTCCATCCTCCTCCAGTCTTTTTTCCCTGTCTCATCCCCTCCACCCGAGTCTCCCATCATTTCCTCTCTTCTCAGCCGCTCCCTCCTCCCCCCACCCCCCACCCAACAGAGCCCATGGAGCCTCAACCCCTCTCCTGCAGCATCCAAGTCAGTAGGTAAGTGAAGGGAGGGTACCGGTGCCGGGGGGGAGGGTACCCAGTGCCGGGGAGAGGGTACCAGTGCCGGGGAGAGGGTACCAGTCCGGGGAGAGGGTACCAGTCCGGGGAGAGGGTACCAGTGCCGGGGGGAGGGTACCGGTGTCGGGGAGAGGGTACCCAGTGCCGGGGAGAGGGTACCAGTCCGGGGAGAGGGTACCAGTGCCGGGGAGAGGGTACCAGTCCGGGGAGAGGGTACCAGTCCGGGGAGAGGGTACCAGTCCGGGGAGAGGGTACCAGTCCGGGGAGAGGGTACCAGTCCGGGGAGAGGGTACCAGTCCGGGGAGAGGGTACCAGTCCGGGGAGAGGGTACCAGTGCCGGGGAGAGGGTACCAGTCCGGGGAGAGGGTACGGTGCCGGGGAGAGGGTACCAGTCCGGGGAGAGGGTACCAGTCCGGGGAGAGGGTACCAGTGCCGGGGAGAGGGTACCAGTCCGGGGAGAGGGTACCAGTGCCGGGGAGAGGGTACCAGTGCCGGGGAGAGGGTACCAGTCCGGGGAGAGGGTACCAGTGCCGGGGAGAGGGTACCAGTGCCGGGGAGAGGGTACCAGTCCGGGGAGGAGGGTACCAGTGCCGGGGAGAGGGTACCAGTCCGGGGAGAGGGTACCAGTCCGGGGAGAGGGATGGAGGAGGTTTGATGGCAGATGGTCGTGGGTTGAGTTTGGGATAACGATAGAAACAGCTGCGCTAAAGCCATCAGTCCCCGCTCTCGCCTGAGTGTCTCCCCGCTCCTCAGCTCTCCCAAGCCCAGGGGTGGGGGAGGTCCCGAGCACCGAGTGGCTGCTTCGAAACCCCCCTCCTCCCCCTCCCCCCTCCCCACCAGAAACGAGTGGAGAAAATGCCAAAAAGGTTTTATTTTTAAGGGAAAAAAAAATCCACCTGGTCCTGATGGTTGCACAGCCTGCGGTCGAGTCCCAAGGACGTTTAGGTCAAAGTTATTCTTGGATTTTAATTCTGCCTCTGTGTGTGTATGTGTCTCTCTCTCTCTCTCTCTCTCCACCAGCATTTTCTCTCTCTCTCTCTCTCTCTTCTTATTGGTAAATAAATGCATCTTCCGCTGCTTTATTTTATTTTATTTTATTTTATTTTATTTTATTTTATTTTATTTTATTTTATTTTATTTTATTTTATTTTATTTTATTTTATTTTATTTTAATGAGTCCGCGAAACCTTGATCAATCGGCTGCAGGGTGTATAGCCCACAAAAATACCCAGTCCGACCCACTTCTACGGTGTGTTCTGTGAAGCGCTTTGAGACGTCTCGAAGACGCGATGAGACTCTGTCTCCCTGACTGTCCAGTGCCTTGGGACGTCCTCCACAAATGTAAATGTGTTCTATATTATTGTGTATCAAAGGTAAGGATTATTTTTAGCGGTTACTTCTCCTTTGTGTATAAAGCCTGTTTATTCTAACGCCTTTCTCCCCTCAAAACAAAATGAAATCCTCGTGACATTTTTACTCGTGAAACTACGGGCGTTGAAATATTTATTTAGGATTAGAGTTTTCTGCTGCTTTTATTTTTTTATAGACATTGTATACCTGATGCATGTAATTTGACGTAACATGAGCCCTTCATCTTATTGGTTAGAGCACTCGCCTCGCAAACGAGAGGACCTGGGTTCGATCCCCCGGGCGGGGCGAAATGTTAGGCAGGTTTGCGTACTCCACACGCCACTATTTACCAAGCAGAAAGTAGGAACCCGGTTGTTAGTCGATTGGGAGATTTCTTTTGGTCACTCAATCCACGCTCAATGTTCATGGGACATCCCTGTGCAAAAATTGGCTGCCGCCTTTCAGCCACAAAATGTGCAGTAAATGCACTTGACAGTATGTGAAGCGCTTTGAGACGTCTCGAAGGCGTGATAAGGCGGTGTGTCAAATGCAAGGATTATTATTATAACGTATGAAAGCCTTGCATTTTTTTTTTTGCAGTACCTTCTCACGTCAAAGCACTTCAAAACCTTTGCAGACGTAATTACCCGTTAGCTTACGCTATAATGCGGTGCCTTGCGGCCTCTTTCGCGTCAAATTAAAAAATAATAAATAATAATAATCCTTGCATTTGATATAGCGCCTTATCACGTTGTTGATAAAGTTAGTTATTCACTTCCTGGCTGAATGCAGCAAAATCATTCCACTTTACGGTAGAAACATGTGAAGCACTTTCAGTTGAGTGAGGAGGATCTATAGTGAATGCAAGGATTATTTTTATTACTCGTGAGAGAGAGATGCTGCTTACTTTGTCCTATAGCACCACCAGCAGGACATGTGGTAGCATTATACCGATTCAGTGTCAGGACATCTGAGCGGCAATTAAAAAGTTACAGCTGCAGATATTAAAAGCTTTAAAATAATAATAATAATAATAATAATAGCGATATTTAAACACAAATGCAGAAAAAAAACTAAGCTAGGCTCAGAATGCCTTGCTGGTGGTTTAGATTTCCTGTCTATGGATTAATTAAATTGGAAATGCATTGGTATATCATAAATCTACAGTAAACTCCTGATAACTCGACCCTGCCTTTACTTGGCACTACTCATCATGCTGTCACTATCCCGGCTGCATTTATTTTTGTGTTGATAATAATAATAACAATCTTTGCATTTGATATAGCGTCCTATGACGTCTTCAAGACGTCTCAAAGTGCTTCACAGAATATGAATTGACGCTATAATTTTGTGGGCGAAATATATGCCTAACCCGCCCTTCCAGGTAACTCATCACTGAGCTCTTTTCCCTCGGAGTGACGAGTTATCGAACTTTTACAGCTCCTTGAAAACAATGAACTTCCTCAATGGCAAATGACCCGATAAAGATTGGCTGTATTTCCCCCCCCCTGACGCTCTCTCATCCGTTGAATTCGAGACACAAAGTCAAGTGTTGATGTGCCAATATCGAGGCTTGACAATGTTTGAAAGGAAATGTCAAACCACAGAGGGAAGAGTTTCAGGCAAGGCTGCAGGCCTATTTTGTTTATTTGAAAAAAACAGGAATAACTTCCTCTGAAACTCCTATTGTGAGGCTGCACTTTGCTCACTAGCTGATCCTTGGCTAGATTGGCCAATAAATTTTTGATTGTTTTTTTCCCCCCCCCGGCAGGTCTTATACCACATCCTGTTTAGGTTTTCAAATTGCTTTTGCGTCAAATTTTCTTTAACGTTTCCTCAGCCAGTGACTCAAACATCCCCTTAAGTCGGTGTAGCAGCATTCTTTGGCCTTTAATGAGTCAATGGCAGTCATTTAGGGAGACGAGAAAGGTTTGATGTTACGCACGTAAATGCTACACAAACTTGCGAAGGCACAAATGCAAATTACGTGGCAGGTCCAAAGAAAAAAATAGTGCGTCAGTGGGGATGAAAAGTTACGCGGATAGAAGCAGTCTCGGTTGCGATAGTTTGCACAGGAATTAGTTTTTTTTAAAAAATATCTCTTTCCTCCAACTTAGTGATAAGTCGCAAGTGTTTCTCGAAGCAGTTTTATCGCGTTCGAGACGCTGTTAAAAAGTGAAATCTCCCGTTTAATCGCAACGAGGCTGCAGCTTTCTTTACCGCAAGTTTTGTGGCACAATATTTAACCAACTTGCGTCCACGTGCGTGCAAATGATTCTGGTGCTGTTCAGGGGAGAGATTGGAAATCACCCAGGTCTAAAGTGCAGCAGCTTGTGCTCAGTCTGGGCGAAGCATTGTATGATCTGAGACGGGCATTAAACCCAGTTTTGCTGCTTGTGTTGGTCGTTTGCCAGAGAGTCGCCCACACCTCGAGATGAGATACAAATACTCCTGATAACTCATCACTCCGAAGGGCTCGAACACGACTTATCCACCTACCTGGCATGGCATAGGTGTAGAATGACTGCGGACAGGATATCGACCGCCTGTCGACTTAAGTGGTATCGACAAGTTAAGACGACAACAAATGACATTTGTATAGCGCTTTTCACGTCAGGAGAACACGGTCGAGTTATCAGTAACAGCATTGAAATAAGGGTGGGTGGGGTTCGTAGGGCGGTGTTGGTGGCTGGTTGTCGGGAGGGAGAGCGGAAGGAGCTGAGTACATCTGCCCGCACCGCAAAACTGGTGATTGATGCGGGAAGGGCTTTGCTTCAGCTGAGAGATGAGGAGTGGGTGAGCAGTCTTGTCGATTCTTCTCTCTCTCTCTCTCCACCACCACCACCACCGACACCCCTTCCTCAACTCCAACCGGAAACACCTAAGATCATATCATAGCTCTAACTGCAAACTGCAAACAAACTCGCAGATGGAACTTAGGACTTTCTGACTCACTAAGTTAAACTGACCCCAACTGAGAGACTTTTTAACTCAGAGAGAGAGAGAGAGAGAGAGGGGGGGAGGGAGGGAGAGAGGGGAAGTTTTTGTGTGACTGTGTGTGTGGTTGTGTGTGTGTGTGCATAGCCTTAGGTGCTTTTTGCATCACAATGCACAGAATATATTAATGACACACAGAGAGAGAGAGACCCACAAAGGAAGCAATTTGTGTGTATATGTGTATACTGATACCACAGCACGTAGGAAACTGGAGGGGGTGGATGGTGGGGTGGGGGGGGGTGGATGGTGGGGGGTGGGGGTGGATGGTGGGGTGGGGTGGGGGGGTGTGTGTGTAGAGAGAGAGCATTCAATGGAGCATGAAATGGCCATTCATTTGGGATGTGTTGGAGATTAACTCTCTGCATTGATCATTTTTCTTTCTCTCTCTCGTTTCCTTCGCCCTATTATTATTATTTTTTGGGGGTGGGGTGGGGTGGGGGGGGGGGGGAGATCTTGCTATAGGTGTGTGTGTGCATATATATATATATGTCTATTCTTTGCAGATGAGTCGGTTGTCTTGGTGACCTCCACAGCTCACACTCACACTCACTCAGTGGCATTGGCGAATCAATTAGCGAACAGCAGTTCCGCCCCGATGTGGTGCGCACACGATGCGTAACGAAACCCCAAGTCATCAAAGACTTGGTTAAGAGGAGGAGAGGAGAGGGAGAGAGAGAGACGACATTGTGGGGGTTTAAAGCCAACTTTGTGTTGCATCCATAGTGACATCAATATTTGGTCAACTTTCCTCCCAAACCGTTGTGTTTGTCTGTGGTGCAGTGAGTGGGTGAAGAGGGCTTTGTCGCTGCTCCATTCTGTCCCGTGAAACCATTGGGGACTGTGTTATGACTACAATAAGGTAACGTTACTGCTCTAATATTCACTGCAATTAAGGCTCAGGACACTGCTGATGGCAGCCCCAGCCCCCCCCCCCCCCCCCCAGCCAGCCCCCCAGCCACCCCTCCCAGCCCCCCAGCCACCCCCAGCCCCCCCCAACCCCCAGCCCCCCCCTCAGCCCCCCCCAGCCCCAGCCCCCCCCAGCCACCCCCCCAGCCCCCCAGCCACCCCCCCCAGCCCCCCAGCCCCCCAGCCATCCCCCCAGCCCCCCCAGCCCAGCCTGGCTCATAGGCAGGAATCTGGAAGGGCAGACTAGTCTCTGGGTGGATGGGGAAGTTGGGTTGGGTTGGAGGGAGGGAGTGGGGGGGGTTGGGATTGGGAGGGAATCATCCCCCTCAGCTCCTGTCCATCCTGCAAACCCAAACCCACCCCCCAGCAGGTAGTGCGGTTGGTCAAACAAGTTCTGAAAGTTTTGAGTTTAACAGTGGAACAATGAGGTCATTGGAGCAGAAAAGCATTCTCTACAGAGACACTACTTTGAATAGGAGTAGAGTCCCGTAACTCAGTGGTTAGAGCACTCGACTCGCAAGCGAGAGGACCTGGGTTAGATTCCCCCGGCAGAGCGAAACATTAGGCAAGTTTCCTCACTCCACACGCCTCTCTTTACGTAGCAGGAGTTAGGAACTCTGGTTGTTAGTCGATTGGTGGATTGCTTTTCCGGGGGTAATAATCCCTTAAAAATATATATATATATGTATATTTTGGTTACTCAATCCACGACTGTTTGTGTTTCGCCCACAAAATACACTGCTGTGTTTCGCCCACAAAATATACAATCAATTCACTTGGCATATATTCCGTGAGGCGCTTTGAGAAATTTCAAAGGCGTGATAAGGCACTCTATAAAATGCAACGATTATTATTATTCTCAAGTGTGGTGATGGGTGTTTGCTTGTCAGGCATCTGACTGATCCCCCCGAAAATGTATAGCGTTTTCACCCAAAAGACAGGGAGGGGTTGGGTGGTGGATAGATTTTAGCGTGGCTGATACACTGAATAGCCATTTTGCTTTGATATCTTTGCCTTTTCTGGGGCTGGAGTCCAAATCTCTGGATAAAGCTGTTGCACCAGCTATCGACTGACTGGTCATTTGTTTCCCTAGGATCATGCGGCCGGATGATGCCAATATAGCTGGCAATGTTCACGGAGGAACAATACTGAAGATGATCGAGGAAGCTGGAGTCATCATCAGCACCAGACACTGCAACAGCCAGCAGCTGGTAAGTTCATGGGATGTGTGCCATAAACCATCGTAGACTTATAGCTGAGCTGATAGCTCACGCTCAGTCTGCCCCTTAACCTCACTGAGCCTTGTGGGGGTCGATGGCTCTTAAGTCAAACGAATGCCAAAATAATAAGTAATAATAATGATCATCATCCCTGCAATTGATATAGCGCCTTATCAAGTCGTTGAGACGTCTCAAAGTGCTTCACAGAATGTATCGTAAAGTGAATTGACTGTATTTTGTGGACGAAATGGACCGTGTATACTTTGGGGTTGTCCAGAAAAATCGTAGTGGTATTTTCAGGTTCCTCTCATGCCAATTTTAAAGACAGCTTTGTGTGACATCAGGGAAGCTTAAGACATTTTTCTCAACCTCTCGCGCCCACCAGTGTGAGGAAGGTGTGAGACAGAATTAACTTTGATAATGTTGGACCTCTTGCAGCGACTGTTGAGAAATAGTGAGGATGCAGGTAAGCCGTGGATTGTGATTTATCTTTCCTGTCATCACAACACGCTGTTTTTGAGATTGACGTGAGCTTTCTGCTTATTCAACCATGGATACAGGAAACCTTTCAGTTGTTTTCAGAGAAAATTGACCTCACTGAAGATCCCATGGCACTAGGTGAAAAGAGAAGGGATTTACTACAAATCCCTTCATGCTCTACCTCGCTGTCCTGCTTACTCCCCACTCCACCACCTGCCACCTCCGCGAGGCTGGCTCCGGCCTCCTGCTCGTCCCTCATCGCCTTGCTCCACCGTAGGTGGCCACGCTTTCTCCCTCAATCCTTCCCCCTTGCCCCCTCCTTCCCTATTTTCAGATCACAACCTTACTCTTCGTACAGTCTGTACTGCGTACAGTCCCCCTTCCCCCACCTCCCCAGCCCGAAGTCACGTTCCACCATTGTTAAGCGCTCCAGGACGCTATCCTGCATGAAGGGCGTTGCATAAATGCAACTTGCTGCTGCTGTTGTTGGCAGACTTTCTCTGAAGCCTCCCTTGTCACCGGAACAGAGATGTTTATTCCATCCCAGTCATCATAATATATATATATATTTATATATATCCTGTTGCTGGAGTGGCTTCGGTTTATTTGATACAATCTATGATATGTTAACTGATCAGTTGTAACTTGAACAATATTTTGTCAGCAAAAGAGGAAGAAACAGTCTTTAGTTATGCCGTGATCCAGCCACCAGAAGGAGCTGTACCCTGTGGGTACACAGTACTGCATTTTAAAGCACTGTTATCAATGCCGGAATAAAGTATTGGCTGGAATTCAGAATAGTCACTCTGTCACTGAAGCTAAGAATTTAAATATAAATAATGAATAAAGTTCTGCCAAGTTGGTTCATCGCAAAATAATGTGATTTCGCCCACAAAAATACAGTCAATCCACTTTACAGTATATCTTGTGAAGTGCTTTGAGGTGTCTTGATGACATGATAAGGCACAAGTAATATTATTAGCATCAATTTGTTTTTCTTAACCGAATTCCTGATGGTATGAAAGCTCGGGCTCACAACGAGAGATAGCTTCATTGGTTGCTGTGCGAGTTCTGTGCCTTGCGTACTAATAAATTAATGCGGCAAAATGGCAAATAATTCCTCTATCTAACTCACCCCCAAACTTTCAATGCATCGGATATGTTGAAGACATTCATTATAGACCGAAAGTGATATCTTCCTGCTGGGAGCACATTAGGTGGCCTTAGATTGGAGTCTATACTCAGTGTGTGGTTGTCTCAGTTCACGTCTGAAACCTGTTCTTATCCCAGTGGGAGCCAAGGCTTCTAGATACGTTAGTTCCTGGAATTGGGACCGAAGATGAGCAATGATTGCAAGTCGTCTTCAGGGAAAACACTACTGGAATCTGACTGAAATTGTCTGTCAGTGACCCAGAGGGCAGGGAGTAGAATTAAGAGAGCGATATTGGCTGCCGTGGTTCGCCTACAAAATATACAGTCAATTCACTTTACAGTATATTCTGTGAATCGTTTTGAGACATCTCAAAGATGTAATAAGGTGCTATATCAAATACAAGGATTATTATTATTATAGGGAGAGTTCCCAAAACAGAGCTGTCTCTCCCTTGTGCTGTGAATATAAAGTACTTTGTCAGAAGTGCCAAGTTGGGCAGAACTTTATCTTTAATTCAGTCACCGAGTGACTGTTCTGAATTCTGCCCCATATTTTATTCAGCCTTGTTTTTCAGAACTTCACAAATCAAAGCAAAGAGCATTTAGTTTTGTCGTTGCTGAGAGAAATCAAGGTGTCCGTCACGTAAAACAGATTGCCGCCAGGCGCTCACCGCACAGAACCTAGTCCCGTTAGTCTTTGCAAGGACCAGGCCTCGACCGAGATAAGATCTCGGGGCTCTGGGTGCCATCACGTGGAGAATCCCTGGAGAGAATGGAAGGCATTTTGTCTGGTGATCAATCTCCATTGATGTTAGCGCATTTAGATATTTGCAATTCTAATCTGAATTGCAGTACCTTGGGACTTCCTCCCGACACTATTGTTCAATCGCATTTCCCCCACAAAATATACAGTCAATTCGCTTTACAGTAAATTCTGTGAAGCGCTTTGAGGTGTCTCGAAGACGTGATAAGGCGCTATATTAAATGCAAGGATTATTATTATACAAATGTAATTTGTTGCTGTTGATTTGCCTGATCATCCCCCTCCCGGGTCCTGGTAATAAACCAGGTTGACTCCTGGCAAGTGATTGACCCGTACCTTCGGTACACAAAACTAGGCTGCTTTGGTATCACAGCTCATGTGCTCAGCTCAAGCAAGATTATGGTAATGAAAACAGAAAGGTATCTTCCATTACCATATGCTCCGTGCAGGCTCGAGAGGGATTATAAAGAATTTGTCCATCTGAAACTAGCTGGGTCGCTGTAAAGCCACTAATATATTTATTGCTACAATGTTCAGATCGATCCACTTGTCTCATTTCACTTTCCCTTAGAAGATGTTGTACAAGGGCGCATTATTCTGGTAACAATAATAATAATCCTTGCATTTGATATAACGCCTTATCACATCATTAAGACGTCTCAAAGCGCTTCACAGAATATACTCTAAAGTGAATTGACCGTATATTTTGTGAGTGAAATGCGGCAGCCAGCAGCGTCCCACAAACAGTCGTGGATCATTAACCGGTTAATTGATCATTTACCCAGTTTTTGGTTATTTTGATTGACGGAAAAAATCAGGGGCGATACTGGGGAGCGGTGGAGTTACGAGGGCTTGGAAAACTGGGACACATTTCACTGGAAGAGACAAGTTTAAGTGAGAATTTTAATTTGCAATTCTGAAAGGTGCTGCGAGGATAAGCAGTGAAAGCCTATTTTTGCTGGTTGGTGAATCTGTTTCAAGGGGCATTCAACGCAGGATTGTCACTGGAGAGTTAAAGGGGGTGTTTGCTCGGAGGGGCTTTAGAGAGACCTTGCAGGCTAAGACGAGGTGACATTTCAGGTGTAGAGACTCGGGACCTCTTTTAAAGGTGCAGTTCACATTAATAATAATAATATAATAATCCTTGCATTTGATATAGTGCTTTTCACGTCTTCTCGACGTCTCAAAGCGCTTCACAGGATAGACTGTAAAGTGAATGGACTGTATATTTGTGGGCGAAACGCGGCAGCCAATTGTGCACAGCAGCGTCCCCACAGACAGCCGTGGATTGAAAACGACCAATTTATTATTGTTTTTTGTTTTGGAGGGATTATTATTAGGCGTGTGGAGTAAGGAAACTTGCCCAAGGTTTCGCCCTGATGGGAATTGAACCCAGGTGTCTCGCTCGCAAGGCGAGTGCTCTTAACCACTGAGCTACAGGACTCCACAAATTTGAAGGTGGTAGGAGCGGTGTTCCGGGCATGTGGTGATGCATGCTAAATCGCTGAGAAATCATCCATTGCTTCTCTTCCGCTGTTACGTAGCTGACTCTGGGGTCTCTGTTGGCTGACCCTTTGCGTCCTCCTTTGTGTTGATTAACACGAAGGTAGTCACTTCTGCAAATCGGCCACGTGATGTCCTGGCTTCCTCAGCAATCTCATTCTGCACCAACAGGCAATAAACTGCTCGGGAGAAACTCCACCTGGGTCTAGATTTACGCTATTTGTTTTAGCATTTTAGAGCGTCCAGAACGGGGCAGATTCTCGCGTGAGGATTTTTCCTGCGAGTTCCTGTTAAAAACTGCAGAAAACCCACTTCAGAGTGAAGATGATATTCAGCAATTTACCAAATTTGGATGATCTAAAATGCTGTATCAATAAACCCAGGTGACATTTGTCCCCTTAGTGCTCTGTCGCCATTCTCCCTTTTACTCTCTTTATGCTTATATACTCCAAAGATGGTCGTAGAATCAAAGGATGTAGAGCACAGGAAGAGAGCAATTTTAAAATTGCAATCCTTTTTCTCTGCCTTTTTTCCATACCGCTGTACACTTTTTTTGCATACACATACTTCCCATGTATGTGTGTGCATGTGTGTGTATGTGCATGGATGTGTGTGTGTGTGTGTGTTATCCCCTTAATTTTTCATTTCAATTTTCAATCAGTTGCCACATTTTGCCCACAAAATGTAGTCAATTCACTTTACGGTATATTCTGTCAAGCGCTTTGAGATGCCTCAGTGATGTGATAAGGCGTTCTATCAAGTGAAAGGATATTATTATGGTATCTTGTCAATCCCGCGCATGACTTTAAACATCCTTAATCAGGACACCCCCTCAATCATCTTGGTTCTAATAATACTTTCACTTTATGCAGCCGTAGAGAATATCATTTACGCAGCCTCTCATCATGGCTTAGCCCCTTCATTTCAAGTATTATTCTGGCGAATCTTCGCTGGATGCCCTCCGATCTAAGGATTCCAAGCCTGCAGCCGTGTGATATGGCAGCAATTGTAGGCTGCTTTGCCAGTGTACACTGTCCTGCACGTGATCTCTCAAGGCTTGTCACTATTCCTTTTGTCTCTGCGATCAAGTGAAATTTTATTGTTCCCGAAAACGCTGTACATCTCTTATTTTGTGCTCTTGTTGGCCTTATTCCCCTCATCCTCGGTAATTCATCCCAGAGGTGGGCGCTGAAGGGAAGATCTGGATGTGGTACAAGTACATCTCAGTGACTGGCTGCTGTGACCTTGTGTTCACGTGCCAGAGGGTGTATCCCCATAATCACCGGGAAACAGAGTGTAACAGGAGAGGCTCTAAACCCCCGAATGCCCACAAATTATACAGTCAATTCACTTTATGATTTATTCTGTGAAGCGCTTTGAGATGTCTGGAAGACCTGATACAGTGCTGGATCAACCGTAATGTTTATTGTTATTATTATGCTGACCCATTATTATGCATCTGAAAGCAAGAGCTTCCACGGTTCACGCAAGCAGCCAGTGTTTAGCAAGAGAGGGGGAAACCTACCTTCTGAAAGAGAAGGAAGTATCTCTCCTACAGTGTCCAGGCCAACAATCCTCCAGATAAATTGTTCACTCGCCTCAGGGCTGACTGTAATACTATGGTGGCGCAAATATCCGTTGCCTTCGCATAACAGCAGTTACCAAGCATGACAGCAATTACTGTGAAGAGCTTCGAGGTGTTTCGACACACGTTAAAAACGCAACTTCTTTACGGTATGAAAAGTTGTGATGTCTCGTGATAACAGCAACCACAACAGATTACGTTTGCCTAAGCGCCCGTAACGTCGAGAGGACGTCCCAAGGCGCTGAAACACCCTCTTAACCCCTGCGATGTGTTGTGAAATGTGGCCTTTTTCACCCTCAACACAGCGATAACATTGAGGTAACAATGTGATGCAGCACATTTAACACCTTCCTATCAATTCCGTTCCCACCCAGCGTGTGAAATGACCCGTATTGTCAGTGAAACGCAAACCTTGGTCTTTATTACCCTCTGTCTCCACCAGGTAGCAGTGCTGATTGCTGGCGCCTTTATCACGTGGTCAGAAATCTCTGTGGCCAGGCTTCCCTGTTCTCATAGCAACTGTTTTGTATTCTTCTTTCACTTTTTAACACCGTCAGTTTCCGGGAGTGGGAGGAGGGGGAGGAGGAGGTTCCATTAAAAGACCTGCGACAACACCAACTTCCAAATTAAGAAATTTCCTCCATTTGCGCGCCATCTAAAGGCTAAGATCGCGGCATTTTCTGTCGCCGAAAAGCACCGTTTTCACCTTCCTCCGCAGCAGACTAGCGTGTGGCTGTTTCCTCGGTTGTCTTGTGTTGGGGGAGGGAGAATACTCCGTATCTATCCATCTCTGTTAAAGTGCCGCTCTGTGCCCAGTTTCTCTTTCATTGGGAAATCCAGGCGCACAGCAAGGTTGACGAGAGTAAGCGATGGTGGCTAGACGATGCGAAGATCATGACTTTAAACCCCTGTCGTGTGTAGGAGGAAAGGAAAATCGAAGGAAACATCGTTATAATAATCCTTGCTTTTGATACAGCGCCTTATCACACGGTCAAAACGTCTCAAAAGTGCTTCACAGGATTTACTTTAAAGTGCAGTGATTGTGTATTTTGTTGGTGAAAGGGATAGGCAGTGTCCCTCAAACAGCCGTGAAGTGAATGACCAATTACTGTATATCTACCTTTTTCCTCTTACTCTCTCTCTCTCTTTCTCTCTCCTCTCGTGATCCTCAATTCAAACTGACACAATGCCAGTCACGTACAACCTTTGCAGCTTATGATATGTTAGAGGGTTCAGATAGCGACACTCACCAAGTGCTAACAAGTTTTGTAAAAAAAATACCTCCCGTGTGACTTGCAACCCAAGACAATGAGCATTATTTTCTCACGCAACAACAACATTTGCAAGGACCTGTTTAGATCAAGGAGCAAGTTTCTGCTTTAACAGCCCCGGGCAAAGTCTGCACAAACCGTGATGTGCTGCTGCAGTGCATACATGGGCAAGAGAGGTTTGATGAAAGCCAATTAGTGTCAGCGTGGTGCTGGGTAGTGTCACGCTCTTGGTGTGACACGATGATATTGCTGGCAGTAAATATCCTGTGTGTATCTCAATGGCCACGGTAGGAGTCGTTGGCATATAGGCTGCATCGTGATTTGAAAATTGATTGGTCTATTTCGATCCAATATTCAGTGCTGTGGGAGTTGTGAGTGCACTGACCTTCTGAGCCCCATTACATGTGCTACTCACACATCAACCCTGATTTGTAGACCATTTGGGTCAAAGCCTCTGATGGTTAAAGGGCTCCAAGTACTGAAATGTAATAGAAAACCACCGTGTCAGTCAAGAGAGAGTGCACACAGTTAATAATTTATGAAAGCAGTTTTGTTTTAGGAATTCTGGTCTCCGTATTAAACCAAACACCCCTCACCATTGACAGAGGCCAGGGAGGCGGAGGTGTGAATATCTCCAGCTGCAATAAGTGGGCAGTAATGTAGAAGACGTTCCCCAAGATGTTCTTCAAGAACATGAGAGTTTGCTAGGTGAAAAAACACCAAGGTCCATCCAGTTCCCCTTCTACCATCCAGGCATCCGCTTGACATATCATGTCCCAAATTATATACTGTATCCCAAGATATTATTTCCTAAAAGGAATCTATCTAATTCACTTTTGAAAGAATCAACACTACCTGCTTTCACCATCTCCCTAGATATTTATAAATGTTATATATTATATGATTTTATATATTATACATATCCATACATTTACCACGCACTCACCCATTTCCATTTCGAGAATTTTTATCCCCAAGACTGAGATACTTTGTGACCTTTTTTGTGGGGCCCGTCGCCCGTCGTGCAAATTGGCTGCTGTGTTTGCCTACCAGATCCACAGTCACTACACTTTACGGTGAATCCCACCCAGCGACTTGAGGCGCTTTGAGACATTTCGATACGGGTGATAAAGCCCTGTATCAAACGCAGGGATTCGGGTTATCCTAATTGAGGTTATCTTGTAGGATTAGCCGCAGGAATGGAGAAGAACGTCGCAGCGGGTTAAGTTGGCTTGTTCTGTTTATTTCAGGAGAGTTGTGCAGCCGTGCTAGCTCGTGTGGAGCGCACGGACTTCCTGTCGCCATGTCCATCGGTGAGGTGGCTCACGTCAGCGCTGAGATCACCTACACGTCCAAGCACTCCGTCGAAGTCCAAGTCAACGTGTTGGCGGAAGATATCATCAAAGGTAGAGAAAGCGACCGGTTTCCATGGCGTACTCATGGGATGGGCTTCCATTTTGTCACGTGCGCAAACTGGCTGCCGCGTCCGCCTACAAGATGCACAGTCTCTGCGCTTTACAGAATACCCTGAGGCAGCGCTATTGAGATTTTTTTTTTCCGTTTCGCGATAAGACACCGTTGCAAATGCAAAGCATTGTGATCGGAAAAACAAAAATCCGGTCCCATACTAATCACAGAAGAAAAAAAAATTCTGCGCAGGTCAGCAATCATTCTGTCACGCAGAGGCTGGTGAGAATGTGGAATTCTCTGCGAAATGCAGTGCCGTGGAGAATCCATTGATTCTTGTTAAAGGGAGCTGGGCAGAGAGTAGTGTTGAGAGGAGGCATAGGAGGAATAGCAATTAGCATTTTATACAGTGCCCTTCACGTAAAGCAGTGTCTTAGCATGCTTTACAAAATGGGGTTGCACATCGAGCAAGGGAGAGAGATAGAGTTAAGCCTCGACTTGAAGACAGAAGCTAGGGAGACCAGCGAGCATTGCGTTAGAAAAGTCTGGATGAAGATATTGAGGGATTGTAGGGAGCAAGCAGGTGAGTGGGATAAGATTGGAGCATCACCATCACAGACCTTGAGGCCAGGTCTGATTCTACTTCACTGAAGTAGCCCAAACCCGATCTGCAAAGTGTTAATCTTAGATATCACGCGACAACTATCACTTGTTAAACATGCTGTGGCGACTTCACAAGTGAATGCAAATACCGTTAACATGACACATAGGGTTTCTGTGATGAAAAACAAGAAATCTTTCAGCTGTTACATTTGAACTCCGGCCATTGATTTTCCATTTACACAGATGCTTATTGTCTGACCTAAATCATCTCCAACTTTCATCTCAATAAACCCATGATCTCACAGCATTCTCCTCTGCACAAGTTTAACCTTGAGTCTAAAATGGATTTGTTGGCTATTTGCTCAGTAGTGTTTTACGTTTAGAGTGTACCAGATACTATGGTTGGTTCCTTCGATAAGGAGGACGTCCCAAGGCACTGGACAGTCAGGGATTTGGACCCGAGGTGGGGGTTGGGATCAGGAGGGGTGGAGGGCAGGGAGTATAGAGGTAGGAGGGTGACCAAAGGCCCAGTTGAAGAGGAGGGTCTTGAGACAGGCCTTAAAGGAGGCAAGGGAGGAGGCGAGGAAAGGGACTGGCATGGAGTTCCAAAGGGTGGGGGCAGAAAGACGGGTGGGTAGGCAGTGCGGAGGCCATGGAGAAGGCTGGAGCACGCTGAGCAGAGGGAGCGGACAGGTCAAAATGCGGATGGGGCATCTCATTTGAACACACGTCCTTCTGAGATGGTGAAGATGGCACTACCCACTGAGGCAGGCTGACTCAATGTACGGAAGGGTTTGGGTTACATTTTAGAGTACAATAGGATCTCTTTAGGGTTGATTTTTCGCGGTGTTGAGTCTTTCACTCAAATGAGAAGTTTGGGCATCTAGTGCTAAGTGCCTGGCGGTGAGGGTTTGATTGGAAAATATTCATGTAATTAAATGAGAATGGGGCTGGGTTTACACACTTCCCCGGGAAGTCATAAGTGATGAGTCCATCAACTATTCTTGCTCTCCACGGGCACATTAAGGTTATAAATCTGAGCCTTGTACTACATACGCAGTGAAGTGTTTAGACAGCTTGGCACGTGCAGTTAATCACCGCCCGTCCGTCAGTTTTGCTCTGTGTTTCGATCCAGTCTATGAATAATGTTACAATCTGTGAGTCAGGCCAGCGAGTGCAAGCATTTATTCCACCCAGCCTTGGCCTGTGACTCCATTTTAACTTAAATTTTAAGATAGTACAGAGTTGGGGGAAAATCTTAATTTCTGTCCCCTCCCCTTGACTCCTTCAAGGTCTATCTCAAGACCCTCCCCTTTGTCTATGCCTTCGGTCACCCTCCTATCTCACCCTCCCCGCCCTCCAGCTCTCATGATCCCAACCCCCCGGCTCGGGTGCAAATCCCTGACTGTCCAATACCTTCGGGATATCCTCCTGACATGAAAGGCGCTGTGTAAATATAATTTGTTGTTGTTGTTGAAGTCGGGTGTTAATCCATTTGTGTCCAGCCACTTATGATTTAAATATCCTTGTAGTATACTTTTGTATACCGGGTGGTGGGAGGTTGGGGGGAGGGTTTGAATTGGAGTTATTAATATTCCATCTCTGGCTCTTAAAACGGGAGCGAGCAATTGTGCTGGCGTGTGAATAAAAAATAAATCTGTTACAATCAACTCGGTCCGGGGATTCTCTGGTTGTTTATTCTTCTGATAACGGAAGATCCGTTTAAAAAAAAAAAAAAAATTCCCCAAAAAAAGACAACAACAAAAAGAAGGCAAAAGAGTGAGTTTGGTTGCGCAAAGCGAACAGGAATTCTAAAGCTAAGGCACCATTCCCTGAGCACTTCGCTTAAAGCATCATCTTACAAGGGAAAATAATCGGAGCAGACTTTATTAGCTGTCTGTCGTTTCCCATTAGACTCAAATTTGCGGGGAGTGTGGTTGTATTTTTCAGATGATTCCGAAGGAGCCTTAAATGTGTTGAGCAAACAAGATCACATATTTGTTTAAGCCCCATTTTCTGTCTCCTTTCCCCCCCGGAATGAGTAACGGATTCCCATTAAAGCCTGGGAATGTGTTGTTAGAATTACGGAATCTGGTGGGTAGGGGTGGAGACGGGTGGTGGGGGGGGGGGGGGGGGTCAGAAGGCGGTTTAGCGTTGGGGGAGAGGGGGATTTGAAGAAAGCAGAGGATTTGAAATAAAAGGGGCAGCATTTGAATGGTCATTGACACCCATTCACCTTGAATTTACTGATCAATTTGCTGTTTATTCCGAATAAAATCGAGAGGCAAGCGAGAGCCTGCGGGCGGGCGAGCGAGCGAGCGAGCAGGAGAAAGGAGGGAGAGGAGGGAAAGGGAAAGAAGGAGGAGGAGGGAGAGATAGTGAGAGAGACAGAGAGGGAGAGAGATATTGCATTTCCATAGCGTTGCTACGGAGACTGGACTGTCAGGATTGTTTTGGTTTGGGTGTGAGTGCAAATCTCGTTCCCAAAAGTGTGCCGTCACATTGAATACGTATCAAAGGCCCCGTTAAAACCCCCCAAAAATGTAGCTGTACATAATTATCACTTACATCCCAGAACACGGAACGTCCCGTTAAAAAAAACAAAACCTCTCAGGATTTTTTGTTTGCTTGTTTGCAACCTTCACATGTCTTAAAGCTCTTTTGTTTTTGGTGGAAAAACGTGCAGAATTTGCCGGCAACGAAGCACAGTGGATATTTAGAACAGTTGCAGTGCCTCAGCCCGCGGAAGCAAGGCAGATAAATATTAAACAGGAAGGAGGGACTGAGCCAAGGAGACCTGGTGCTTTTTTCCGCCGTTGTCTATCTGTTCTGCGGGTGTTACGATTTGTAAGCTGTTCTTTCACAAACATTCCAAACCAAATAATGCCAAAGCTTTTTTTTTTCGTCCACACTACACACAGTCACTTCACTTTGCAGTATATCCTCTGAGGGAGGCGCTTTGAGATGTCTCGACGACCTGATAGGGCTCAAATGCAAGGATTATTATTGAAAGGGTTTTTGTGATGGGCCAATGCTGAGGGTTACTGGACAGAGCTCCCATCTTGCGGAGTGCGAGCCGGAAGTTTGCTCCTATCTGCCGAGGCTGCAATAGGAGGCTAAATTGGCCACCCTGTTCTTGCCAAGATTAGCGAGGGGAAAGCCAGCCAGGGATACGGCTCCTGGCTCGGCTGCAGTACCTTCTATTGCTTGCGAGATGTGTGCGCGGCAGCTGGGTGGAGAGAGGTCAGACTCGGCAGTGGCGATCTCTACAGTCGCGTGGCACTGCCAACGCCCAGTGCTGAGGCTGACACATGAGTAATGGCCACTCGGATAGGTTAATGTGTGGGGGGGGGGGCTCGCATGGAACCGCACCCCAACGTGAGGAGGGGAGATTACGAGAAGAGGAAAAACATTGGGGCCAAAAATTGGATGCATTAAAATTAAAAGCAAGCAAACAACGACAACAAATTACATGTACCTCGTGCCCTTCACATCAGGAGGACGTTCCAAGGCACTGGACAGTTAGGATTTGGACCTGAGCTTGGGGCTGGGACCAGGAAGGGTAGAGGGCAGGATGGGTTAGGAGGCTGACTGATGGCGCGACAAAGAGGAGGGCCTTGATGGAAGCGAGAGAGGGAGCGAGACAAAGGGACTGTGGGGTGGGGTTTCAAAGGGTGGAGGCACAAGCTGAAGGCCTGGCCGCCAATGGTGGAGCAGGCAAGGCGGGGGAAATTGAGAGGGTTTTATTCCAAAATGGCTACAAGTGGACAGTTTAAAATACTCAAGAGTAAAAGTCAGTTTAATTCCCCTTTAAAAATAGTTGCCAGAGCCATGTAATATTCTGCAGGCGAGGTTTAAGGCCATGTCTGGCTGAGCACGCTGCTGTTCGCACTATGAGAATGTGTCATCTCTGCTGTTCGATAATTCCGAGTTCACGCCTTGGATTCCGTCGTGAAAGCAACTTCTCCGCACAGCGAGAAACCGCTCTTTTAATTTGCATGTCTGTCTTGCGATGAGTGTAAACCATGTGCGCAATGAATTATCCGCTTAAATTGGTCACTCAATCCACGACTGTTTGTGGGGACGCTGCCGTGCGCAATTGGCTGCCGTGTTTCGCCCACAGAATATACGGTCAATTCCATTTGCGGTGTATTCTGTGAAACGCTTTGAGACATCTCGAAGGCGTGACAAGGCGCTGTATCAAATGCAAGGATTATTATTATTATTAATTACCGGTGACTTTGCTCTGGAGGATGTTATGATTAAAAACAACCCGTTTTTTTAGTGTTTTCCGCAGAACTACTCAACGTGAGATTTTAGGGGTGAAAGATAAACAATTGGACAGGCAAAATGTGGTAACCGTTTTTTTTTCTTTGAAATTCCTTCCAGGAAAGAAACGGCTTACCAACAGAGCAACGCTTTGGTACGTTCCCGTGTCCCTGAAATCGGTGGATAAAGTGGTTGAGGTGCCTCCCATAAAGGTATGAGATCCCCCGCTTACCCCCTTCCCCCCCGCCCCAAACCCCTGCCATTAGTGGGATTGGAATAAGGCCAATATTGTTGTCATCTGTTTGAGTCTTTCATTTCAAGGGGAAATAGGACTGACGTCAAGATAACAGAGCACAATAGAATGTCGAACCTACATCAGTCAAACAGGTGAAAGAAAGCGAAACATTATCCTTTTCTAGCGCCTTATCACGTTGAAACGTCAGTCAAAGGCCTTTTTTTTATATAGATAATCATGGTGCCATTTAACCTGCACCGAAAACATCCCCAAAGCACTTGACAGGCTTACTGTGTGGTGTAATGATGTTGGTGTAGGTGGCAGTCAATTGCCACGCAGTAATGTCCCACAAACCGCCACAAAGTGAGTGACCAATTTTGCCTGAAGGATCTTTAGCCTGAAAACCAGGAGAAACTCCCATCTGTTTTCGCATAGAGCCGCAAGTTCATTGACGGCCACGTAAACAGGAACAGACAAGACTTCGGTTTAACGTCTCATCTAAAAGATTGCACCTCAACAATGTGGCACCCCCAGGCACTGCGCTATAGGGTCAGCCTCGACCGTGTGAGTTCAAAGTCGCCAACGTTGGGCTTTGAACCCACAACCTTCTGACTCGGAGGCAAGAGTGCTGCCCGCTGAGCCAGACTGACACATAACAGCATGATAAATCTAACCACAATACCCCACAAACAGATTGCCAATTGGTCTTGTTTCTTCACAGCACTGAGTGCATTGTCAGTGAAGATCAATCAAACGCATAAGACATTTTACTTTTGATCTTCCGTTGCCCAGGGCAACATTTTTTCTGTATGAAAATATGAGAGCAGATCGGTCCACAATACAGAAATGGCAAAGTGATTCAGATCCCCCATAAAAATAGAATAATCGTCAGTCGATCAAAGTGTGAAATTTAATGAAATTGTGCGCATAGTGTTGATTTCGCCCACAAAACTACACAGTCAATCCACTTTTAATAGATTCCATGAAGTGCTTTGAGATGCCTCAACGAGGTGATAAAGCGCTTTTATCAAATCCAAGTCTTATTATTATGTCTCAAAGCCCTTCTCTGGTAATTGTTGTAGGTGCAGCAATGTCTGACGCACAGCCACAAAGTGAATGACAGGTTTTATCGGGAGGATTGTCAGCCAGAACACCAGGGAGAAACTCCCTTCTCTTTTCAATAGAGCCTCAATAAGCGTCGTAACGTCCACCTGAACGGTCGCAGACAGGACCTTGTTGAAGGTGTGAGCCAGAAGGCTTTTGGGAAGAGTTCTAGAGAGTGAAGGCCAAGTGGCTGGACACTAGTTCACTGATGGCGAACTTGAATTCTCGGTACCTCAGCCTTTATCACTCGAGTTGAGAGGCAAATCTCTCCCAAGGTAGTTCAGGGGGCTCAGAGGGTGAGAGTTTAAAGGGGGGAAACCTAATGCATTTTCCCTTCTCTGGCTTCCTCAGTACCTCAGAACAGAACAGGAGGAAGAAGGGAGGAAGAGATACGACGCTCAGAAACTGGAGCGAATGGAAAACAAACAAAAGAATGGAGATTGGATGCTGCCAGCCATTGACACTGGTAAGCAGTACTGTACGGAACGGGCTATCTTTACAACACAACAACAACAACAACAAGATTCCATTTATAGAGCGCCTTTCACGTCAGGAGGACGTCCCAAGGCGCTGCACAGTTGGGTCATGACCCGAGCAGGGGGGAAATGGTCAGGGTGAGGGGAGGGAAGGGAGGGAGAGAGGAGGGGGGAAATGGTCAGGGTGAGGGGAGGGAAGGGAGGGAGCGAGGAGGAGGAAGAGAGTCGAGAGGGGAGCTGAAGGCTCGGTCAAATCTTTATTTGGAGTTGTGTGCGAGACAGAGGAGAATCCTGTTATAATATGATATTTGGGGGAAACAATAAATTCCCCTGACCTTTATTAATAATATTAATGAGGCGTGATTGTAGGTCGGCGCTTTCTCACTCACTGTGTGTGCCGTGAAGACAAAATGGCTAACTTCTCGGTCATCAGGTCACCATCGATGTCACCTTCTGCCATTCCCCATCTATGAGCTCGTAGATCAACCTAACACTCCGGGGCAGCGCAGGGGTGTGGGGGTGCACTGCATTGTCAGAGGCACTGTCCTTTGGTTGAGACGTTAAACCAAGGCCTCCATCTCCCTGTTCAAGTGACAGTAAAGATCTCGTGGCACTGCTAGAATAAAGAACCGAATGTCCCAGATACCTCCTCAGATAAAATTAGTAATTCACTTCACGGGAATTACTTGCGGGAAATTGCTGTGTGCAAATTATATGCCTTCAAAATACAGTTACCGCACTCGACAGTAAAATTCCCTGAAACTCTTTGATGGCAATGTTTCGATGATGTGATAAAATACTACGTCAGATGCAAAAATTGTTACTCAAGGTTGATGGAGGTGGTTTGTAGGGCTACTGCGGTTGATAATGCGTGCAGCCTTGACTTCCCAACACCGCGCTTGTCTAAAAAGTTAGGTTAAAATAAATGATCTTGAAGTTATTTGTGGTTTGCTCTCAGCCAAACGCAGCCATTGAAATCCCAATGATGAATGAGGACTGAATGTGGAGAGAGGGGAAAAAAAAAGGGTTTGACCCTGCTGGAGGATACGGCTCAAATAGCAATCGAGTCCCTTGGCTGCTGTCTGAATTGGATTATTTCGTTGAGTTTTAATATCATTGAAAAGCAATGTAAGAGATTCATGGCTCTGGTATTTCTGCTCTAAGCACTGCTCACATAGACTGTGGGAAAGCCCAACATTTGAGATCTCTCTCTCTCTCTCTGGGCCCTTATAGTTCCTGCTGATGAGCCAGGCTGGGCTATCATCAGCAGTGCCCTGGAATACTGCGGACCTGCCTGGCTTAGGAACCGGACTACCGAGACCACTGCAGAGGGCCGGCTCGATTCTGACATTCTGTTTCCAAACGTGTCACCTTGGAACCAGTTCAGCTCCAAGGAGACTCTGCTTAACCTCCCCCCACCTCCCACCACCCTGCTCCAAGAAGGATAGCTGTTGAGATTACAGGGACCTGGAATTCCTCACGGTCTTAGCCTCATTTGTCTTTCAATTTAAGAAGTTAAGAGCGACAAAACCGGCTTCCAAATGAAGCCCGGATGTGAGAATTTTTCAGATATTCTGCTCGATCTTCCAATTTTACGACAATGGTCTTAAGGCAAAGAGCAAATAGGAGAGTTTTGAAATGCTGTCGGCCTGGCTCAGACAGTATATCTTTCGCCTCTCTGGCTTGAACGGGACTTGAGCTCACACAGTCATTTATAAATACAATAAAGTGCTTTGACAAGTCCTCCCAATAAGAGAGGTGTGATACAAAATGCAATGATTCTGATTAATTATAATTTCCCTGTTCTTCCTTTTTTTTATTGCTACTCAAAAAGACCGGAAGTCTAAAGGTAAGAGCCATGTCACTTTGCCACATTGTCATTCTTTGATCCTCACCTCCACCGGTCCAGTTAATCATACGATTAACTGTACCGGTCCAGTTAAATTCTGCTGCTGCTCAGTTGGCAGAGATCTCATCTCTGAATCAGAAAGTGAATTCAATCTCCACCCCGATAATTTAAACTCACAGTCTAGGCTAACACTCCAACACAGTGGTGGGTGGGGGTGTACCGTGTGGTCAGAGATGCCATCCTCAAGAGTTAAACGGAGGTCCTGTCTGCCTTTTAAGTGTCTGTTAATGATTCCAATTATCGAAGCCAATTTCTCCTGGTTATATTGTCTACCAGGTAACTTAAATCATTCATTTACTGGATGTTCGTGGGCGCTTGTATGGTGTTTCAACGTTAGAAGACCTCAGTCAAGTGAAGCTTTATGATGAGGTGTACCTCTAGCTTTGACCAATGACAACTCCTTTTCATCGGCTTCTTTGTGTCCAACCAAAATCAATCTTGGCTGTGACGTTGATTTATTGCAAGCAAAATTGACAGCAAGTTGAGTGAATTCACTGCAGTCTTCCAATAGATGTGATTTTGAATGGACTTAGTGGCTGAAGATCCTTCAACATGATACTGTAACCACTTGCAAGTCAATCACTCATTTTAAGATGACTTTACTGTAGTTGCGCTCGGCTGGAAGGGCCAAACTCTGCCATTCCGTGAAGCTCCGAGCTCGTTTGTCTCTTTCCGTCTTTGCTTTTTAACCGTGGGAGGCTCACATTTCCACCTCGCTGTCGCCCGTGAGATTATTTTGCCGTTTCATAAAAAAATTAAGATTAAAATTAAGCAGAAATGTAGAATATTCTTCATCTCGGCATTACTTTGGAACCCGTCTCTTTTTAAGAGCTGCGGAGAAAAGGCTTCCAAAATTTTGAGGCTGAATTTGAGAATTTTCCACAGTTCGGCTTCATTGGTGAGACAATGTGGTCTGAGGGCTGAGACTGGATGGAATTTCAGGTCCCGGGGGGACTGAACTTAATTCTGACTTAGACTCAGTCCAAAATTGATATTCTTCCTCGTAATTTAAGTTTTAATGGAATTTTGCTTGAAACCTATTTAAGGAAACGTTGAAGCTCAGACCCAGAATTCTCATTCAGCTTCTTATCAAGGAGATTGATGGTTTGTGGCATCAGCTCCTTATCTGCCTGTGCAATCGATTAGGTGCCAGAAGCCGCAATTAGATCGTCACTGGTTTTGTGGCATTACTGGTACAGGGAGCCGGCAGCCTGGAAACACAGTGATCCTTGAAAGTCAAATCCGAAAATCCCAAGCATGAGAAGTGTGCATTGATTTCAGTCCATTTACATGGCCCTTCGTTCTCTCATCTTAGATGTGGAGCACAAGAGCAGTGTTTCAGTGCAACAATGCCTGTTGGTTGCCCTGCGTGTGGAAGCTGTGCATAGCCTGGGCTGAAGGGTTGAGTTGAACCCAACATAAATCCAACTGGGTTCAGTTAACGATCTGCGCAAATTTGCCCCGAGCGAATCCTGTGGGAACGCTTACATTTCCGAGGCCGACCCTCCGGAATTCTGCTCCTGTGAAGTTTATTGGCAGGGCATGCTTCCATGTGTGTGTGTGTGGTGTGGGGGGGGTTGGGGAGGTGAATAAGTGTTCCAGCACAGATCTGGATGATTGGCCAGCCTCTCTTCTAGGTCCCTGAAGGGTCTGCTATTACCAAACCAATTTGTGAAGCTCCCAGATTTAGAAACATTGCGAGAGGGAGGAAAATCCCAGTTCCATCTTTGGATCCACTGCACACGCTGCTTCGTGAATTGCACTCTCTCTCCCGATTGAATGGCCACTTATCCATTGACATACTAAGCCTGAGGTTGTAGGTTACGAGTAAATGCAGAGAGGTATTTGAGCCTTCCAGTCTGCTGCATGAAACTGTTACAGTGTCATTCTTGCCCCTTCTGTAATCGATGCACTTTTCGGACCATTCACAATTAACAGATTGCGTTTCTGCCTTTACAGAGCCCTATACAGTGCGATACAGTCAATCCAGCCTCATTCACCTGGTATCTCCATCTGACTGCGTTCTCCATGGATTTGTTCAAGGAGGTATGGTGGCTTTCCTTCCTTCATAAAGCGCTAGATCTAATGCAAGCGTTACGACTATGGGACAGATAAACTCAAGATTAGATTGACGAAAGTGAACTGTTAATGGGCGGGTGAGGTGGGTATTTTGGAAGGGATGAGATGGGGGAGAGGAGAGAGAGAGAGAGAGAAGAACCTTCGTAACTCACACGACTCCTGTGATTTTTGCGCGTGGCTTTAGGGCGTAAGTATGGTGACCATAATGAAGAGATGCAGTTTCATTCCAACAGTGGTTTCAGTTTATACCTCTTGCATTGTGCCAGAACATTGGGCCTAAAATTCGTATTGGACTAATAGCCCATGAGATAACAACATCGAAACGCAGACCAGTCCCCTTAATTATGTGGTTAAGCTGTGGAAAGAATCCAGGACGATTCAGCAGTCCTTTTTTTAGAGGCAAGTTACCTTCTTAAGAGCGTTTTGAGCACGGGCTATTAACCCAACATACATTTTAGACTCCCATTGCTCAGGTAGAGGGTGAAATGCAGGGCCAAAGAAAATGACCTTGAGATGTCTTTTTTGAAAGATCCAAACCTTAAATTATTACAATATATCAAGTAAGACGGTCACGAGATGCACAGCGTCACAGCCTGGATGAATATTTTTTATTCCAATAAAATGTAAGTAGACGGAAAGAGTGAGTCAGTCTCGTTATTGAGGTGACAATGCTTCCCGGAGACTATATTAGGTATCAGTGACAAGTCGAGAACGTTAATGGACTGGCATATGAGATTATACTCGCAGTGATCTGTCTGTCTGCTGATGTTCAGGAGAGCTACAGGGCAGCTTTGCACCTCCACCTCCTGACAATTAATTGAACTCTGTATTCCAATCACATTACCTATACATTTCGCCCACAAAATACTCAGTCGAATCACTTCACTGTATGTTCTGTGAAGCGCTTTGAGATGTCTCAACGACGTGATACAGTGCGATGTCAAATGCAAGGATTATTATTGTCCCCAAACATTGCAAAATGTGGTGATTAATACCAAGTAGATTACGCTACGAGAAAGGACATTGCGTTTGCTCTTGTTGCAAATTAAACACCTCTTTGAGTGATGAGCAATCTTTTCTGTCGGCATTTTTTTGACTGGAATGGGAGGGATGGGTGGGCGGGCGACGAATTCCTTCTGGAAGTGTCCACTCGTTCTGAGATGCCTGTTGGGTTCAAGATGTTATGTTTTTTTTGTGTGTGTGGGGGGGGGGAAATCAGGCTGTTCATAATGAAGAGGGGAAGGGGAGGGCTGGTTGACTTGTAGCAATGTCCCAGTCTTTACAAGAGAAGCATCTTCAGCTTTATTTCTAATTAAGCACTCTGTGAAAAAAGCCCCAGGTAATGCCACCTCTTTGCCCACCTTGTCAAAGAGAACTAGCGACCTCTTTGAAACGGCTACAGATGGCTACACAGAGAGGGAACCACCCTCAGGTTGGCAAGCTGTCTCCTGACGGCCTGAGCAGCCGTACACTGTTTAATCCTTAATTAATAAGCAATTAAAAGAGGATTACCGGTGAAACAGACTGTCCTTTCAAACCTCCATGTGATCCATCTGTCATTCATTTCTGAACTTCACCTTTTGGCTCCCATCCCTGCTCTCCTTAAGGCCTTCAGCTCCTTTCTCCTTAAACTGATTGCACTGACCGGAAACCCCCCCCCCCCCCCACCAATACTCACTCTTAAGGGGAGAAAATGACCAAAACACATTTTGAAAGAAAATACATTTCTTTAAAAATGTTCTTTTTGAAGGTCAATAATATTGAGTGGCATTTAGCATGTCGCTCATCTTTATGTGTCATTGACAAAGCCCCCATGGGCACATTGGTCGTAGCTGGGCGTTCAGAGGGGAGCTTGCCAGACAGTGCTCTAAATGTTAAACTGTGTGTGTTTCATTTGGTTGAAATACACCAGTTACCACCTGCCCCCCCCACCCACCACCACCCGTAACCTCCACCCACCCACCTCCCGCTACTCTATGGGGTTCCCCCAAATCTTGGCTCTCGCCAAACTACTCTCAACACTCCAGAATTAAGTAGTCAAGGTGTGTCCCACTGGGAAGAGATAGACAGTGTATGCATTCTATTCCGTTGCAAACGACGGAAAATTTCTCTGTGTGGCACTCATGGAACCTCCGTGTCCGGTTTAGATACGCTGATGTGTTTCCGAGTTTGTCAGACACCCGGCTGAGCAGGAAAAAACCATATATTATCATCGATAAACAAATACCGAGTGCAGCATTATGATGTATTTAGCAGATTTGCTAAGCCCGGTTTATCATTGATAAAAGAAGGTTCAAGATCGTATCGACGTGTGTTTGCTCGTCAGGCCTTCTCCCCAAATTGTCGTCCACAGGTTCAGAATATTTAACATTTCTTTTCTATGGTGACGAATAGCCTGAAGTGGGGGGTGGGGTGGGGGTTGTTTGCGGGAGGAAGGGATGGGGTGGGGGTTGGGGGAAGAAAGGTAGCTTATCTGTGCTTAATGTCCTGTAATGCTGTAGGGCAGCGCGGGGAGCTAAGTGGCCAATGATGCTGGAGTCAATGGCAGTGACAATTCTCTGACAAAATAGGTCACATGCTGAGCTTCTCAGGCATGTAAGAAAGAGACGATGTGAATGAATCATTTGCAGCAATGACAAGGGACAAGGGTGTACGTGTAAGAGATGTGTGTGTGAGAGAGAGAGAAAGACCGACCGTCTCCATCGTAAAGAGAAATCCCTGCATCTCCACTCATGAGTAATTTCTCATTGCCATTACCTTGTGAAGGCTAGAATGTCAGCCCTGGTTGCTTTTTTTCCCTTTCCCTTGCAATTTACTGCTCTTTGATGTGCCTTTTCTCAGTCGCCAGGGATAGAGAGAGAGAGAGAGAGAACAAGAGCAGACGAGAGAGCCTTCTGTATGTTGCCTTGGAAACTGGGCTCGATGGCTGCACACACTGCGGGGGGCCTGGAGTGTATGTCTTCAACTAAATTCAGACATCAGCGCATCGCCGTACGGGGTTTCAGTGAATACGGTTTGGCCCAGTTGAAATAAGTACAGGTTAAGTTTCAGTGTACGCGCACCCCTTCTCACTGTGTGGGAGCGAGCCCCGGTCACTGGCTACTGCTTTGATGGTAGAAATACGTTTTACTTCTCGGTTTCTAATCCTGAGAGGTGAGGTCGGAAGCACACGCGCGCACTCTCTCTCTCTCTCGCTCACGCGCACGCACACACACACACACACACACACTCACCTACTCTCAGGCACACATGCTCGCACAGCACCAAATCACTTGCAAATCCTCTCCCACGCGCACGCAAAGTCTTGCACATTCACACACGCCCGCACACTCTGATGGGTATATCGCACGATCGCTCCGAACATCTGAAAAAGGTTGGAACGATTTACTGTTTGCTGCTGGCGCGCTGCACGGGTGGTACTTATCATTGGCACTGTGCGAGGAATCTTGTAAAAAGGTTGCTGAATACATTTTATTTCTTTCACACAAAGGGCTTGGTGTGCATTCTCTTGGCAGACCAGTGGCACAGTTTATAGAAGCGCTTTGAATGTTTATGTGCACGTTCTGTTGTCTCTCATTCCAGAATGCACGTGGGCCCCAGCTTCATCCCAGTAACAGATGTCTTTCTCACTGCTGCCAAAAAAAAATGGAAGACCATTACAGCAGTTTTTAGAATCATAGAATCATACGGCGCAGGAGGAGGCCATTCGGCCCATCGTGTTCGTGCCAGCTCTTTGCAAAGAGCTACCCAAGTCAATCCCACTCCCCCGCGCTCTCCCCGAAGCCCCGCAAACTTGTCCTCCCCAAATAATTATCTGCTTCTCTCTTAAAAGTTGTTATTTTGGCTGCATATTTGAAGCATTTTTTTTTCCATCAGTTTCTGGAATGTTACAGCACAGAAAGAAGGGCCATTTTACCAGCTGGTGTGTTTCTCCAAGTGGGGCAGCGAGGCTAATTCCACTCCTCCGCGCTCTCTCCCTGGTCTCTTCCCCCCGCTCTCCTCTCCAGCCTTTAATATTTCAAGCATCTATGATTGACAGACTCTGTGTCACCTGGCTCAGTCAGTAGCACTCTCGTCTCCAACTCAGAAGGTGTTAAACTGAGCTCCCGTTGGGAATTTTCCCTGGTTTTCGGGCCAGCATTCTTCCAGATAAAATTGGTCGCTCGCTCAATGGCTCTTTGGAGGGACGTTGTTGTGTGCAAATCGGCTGCTGCGTTTGCCTACAAATACACAATCACTGCGCTTTACAGTAAATCTTGTGGGGTGCTTTGAGACATCTCAATGGCATGTGATGAGACGTGATATTTAAATGCAAAATGCCAAGGAATAATATTGACAAGCTTAAAGATTAGGTTGTCTTTATCTTTTCTTCTGGAAGCAGAGGTGATGTGGTGCTTAGCTCCTGTGAACAAATCCTGTGATTCTGACAAGAAAATGGCATTGCCCTACATCATTTGGCAGTCACTTGACAGCAGGATTGATTTAGCTGAATGATACGGTCATGGCTTGACATACGTATCATTCATTGCTTCACGCAGAGGGTTGTCAAACTGAAACACACTGCCCCAGAAAGACCACAGATGCAGAATCTGTTGAGATGCTTAAAGGAGAGGGAGATACCTAAGTAAGGATATTAGTGGATATGAAGAAAAGGCAGGGAAATGGGCTTCGAATGATAAAGGGCTGGTATACACTTGTGTAAGGTGGCACAGGAGACTCGATGGGATATAGCTTGCTCCTCTTCCAATGTTACTATAGATGGACACTGTTCTAACACAATGGTTTGAGTCTGTGATCTCAAGTCCCGCGTTGAATGAGGCGTGCCGTCAAAATATGGCTGCCGTCGGCACCTACTGATCACCAGGTCGCTGCTGACATCATTTCCTGCGCGTGCAACCTATGTGTCGGTCAAGCTTCTGACATAACTTCCTGCGCAAAGTGACATCCGTGACACTTGTGCAGGAAGT